TTAACAACAACATATCAAAATATAAAAGAGGAAAATCAGAAAGCGTTATAAACATTAGCACAACAGAAATGAAAATGAAAAGAAAACCCATAAAAAAATGAACTCAGTGCAGAAAATTTTGTGCAACAAAACCAGCAGCTCCACAAAAAACACACACAGAATGAGAGCAATTAATTCATACCTATTAATAATGACACTGAATGTAAATTAATTAAATGTACCAGTTAAGAAACAGAGAGTAACAGAATAGATAGGAAAACAGGAGCCTTCAATATGCTGCCTATAAGAGTTACATCAACAAGAGATAGCCTAAATGCCTATCAATAGAATGGTTAATAAATTATTAATTTCTTCCCTAGTTTTAAGCGTCTGTTTTATTATGAAATCTACTTGACTTCCTCGCCATTTGGAAGTTCTCTAAGTACACCATTCCTACTTTTTACCGTGTAGATGTTTTCATTATCAATTGATAGCTCTGGTTCCCTATTTTTAGTCTTGTAGGTTTGTTTTACTTTGGATACTTCTATATCTCAGTTGACTTCTGGGTGGTGTTGTCATTTCAGTCTCACTACTGATATACCAATAGAGCATATTCAATTAAGTATTTTTCAATATAATCAGCACACTAATACAGAAATAATAACTTTGGAAGTCAAGACACTTCATTTTCCTTCTCTCTTCACTGTCTTGTGTGAATTTGGTCAACACATGTTTATTATCCTTGCAGAGAAGAAGGAATAGGGGTAATTAACTGTAGCTAGTCCATCTATTATTTGTAGCCAAAGGTCTAGGATAGTGATGATAAGATACAATCAGTATTTTCCAATGTATTGTCATCTCTCATAAGAGAACATAAAGGAGAGAGAGAACAAGCCTTACCAATACTGCAGGCAAAGGAACAGGGTCCATCAGATGGCAATTCAAGGGGAGTGCGAACCACAGGGTCGGCATTTCAGTTCAAACCTACCAGTTGCTCCTTGAAAATCCTATACAGGTTCGCTGTGAGTTGGAACTGACTTGATGGCACTTAACAAGAACAACCATTCACTACATAGCCACTGCCACTGGGTTGATTTGGACTCAAAATGCTGCAGAGGCACAGAGGAGAACGGCTCCAAAGTTTCCAAGACTGTAGACCCTTCTAGGAGCAAATAGCCACGGCTTTCTCCCTTATGCTTAGCAGCATTTAACCCAGTGTGCCATCAGCGCTCCTCTTTTGGGTCTTACAAATGATTATGCTTGAAGAACGGACATCACACTCAAGACAGGCCATGGGGTGCAGGCACAGTGAATGGTGAAGTTTGTAGATTGTAGTCAGATCAGACGAATTTCATGTCAGTTTCCATATTTCCTTCAGCCAGTCGCTGGGGGGGTCAGTTCCAACTCATAGCACTCCCATGTGTGTCCCAGTAGAACTGCTCCATGGGCTTTGTGACGCCTGTGTTTCTGGAAGTAGATCTACGGGTCTTTCTCCTAAGGTGGCGCTGGGTAGGCTCAAACGTCACCCTTTTAGTTAGCAATCAAGGGCATTAACCGTTTATACCATCAGGAACTCCTTTACTTACCAGATACCTGATGAGGGGCAAATCCACTTCCTCAGATAGCAATGCTTTTCACTTAATGGAGAATAATAATATCTACTAACTATGGTGATTACTCAGGTTAAATGACATGCAGGTAAAGATAATTTAGCAGGGTTTTAGACTAGTAAGGGCTCAGTAAATGTAAACTATTATTGTTGTTGTTATTAAGTGCCATCCAGTCAGGTCCCACTCACAGAGACCCTGTATAGGGTTTCCAAGGAATGGCTGGTGAGCTTGAACCATTGATCTTGTAGTTCAAACCCACAGCACCATACCAGGACTCCAAACTATTATTAGTACTACCTTAAAAATTAAGTCAAACTGAGGGTTAACCCCTTAAGACTTCAGCATTCCTGTTTTAGGTATAATCAGTCTACAGACTGAAGAACAGCTTACTTGTCTCCAATAATGCTACCTCTCTGGTACCAGTAGAAAAAGAAAGACGACAGTTGTTGTTGTTAAGTGCCTCGGTTCCGACCCATAGCGACCCTGTACAGGGTTTCTGAGGCTATAAATCTTTATGGGAGCAGAACACCTCATCTTTCTCCCGTGGAACAGCTGGTAGTTTCGAACTGCTGGCCTTAAGGTTCACAGCCCGATTCGTAACCACTATGCTACCAGCACTCCTTAAATGCTACAGGGAAATGCTACAGTTAAGACCCTCCTTTTCACGTGACACCAATAGTTCTCCAGCATTTACTCATTTTTTTCCCGGTATGAGTCCTACCTTGCACTTTCCGAAGGATGTGGTTTTCAGAACTCAGCATTCTCTCAAGGTGTTTCATGAGATTCACAATCAAACTAGAATTCCCGGAAACAAATACAGGCACAATAGTTTGGCCATATTGACCCAAATCCATTTTTCTGGTGATCTCCTTAGTGTCCCTTGAAAAGTCATCAACTTTTAAGAGAAAGGTAAGGACACCTAGAAGTCCCAGTATCTGGAGTAATAACAGTTTCCAGTTTCGATAGCTGAACATCACCCTCTTTAGGAACATGGCCAGGAACTGCTGGTGGTAGAGGGGCCACTAAAGAAAGAAGAGAAGAAATAACGTCAAAATAGTCAAATACCTAAAACAGGTCTTCCATGCTGGAAACCATTAAGATGGGTGCTTTGAAATCTTATCAAGGAAGAAATGTAAAGTTTATAAAGTTGAGATTTTGGGATAATAGACCCTAAGTGTAAGGAACCAGTATGATGATAGCATAATGAGTCTTGTACTTGTGCGAGGCAGGGGCTAACAGGTTCTCATTGTAAACAAAGCTTTATAGGGATTACAGGTATGCTAATTCATTTCTCTATTTTCTGTGGTTGTTTACACACTACATTCACTGAGTTAGATGGTGTGAGAAAGACCATACGGTCCACAAAGCCTAAATTACTTACTACCTATCCTGGTGTGGCACTGTGGGTTACTGCGCTGGACTGCAAAGTCAGTTTGAACTGCAAGGTCGGTGGTTCAAGCTCACCAGCCACTCCTCGGAAACCGTTTACAGGGTCACTATGGATCAGAACCAACTCAACAGCACTTAACAACAACAACATACCTTTACAGGAAAAGTTTGTAGACCTTTACTCTAAGGTATTAAATAAAATGTTTAAAGTCTGGATTTCTATATGACACACTTAAAATCTCAACAGGATGGTTTTCCTTATTAATAGAATTGTAATACCTAGGGCCAGCAGAACAAAATCATATCAAGGTCTCTTGTGATCTTTGGATTTTTTCCATTTCAAAAGGGAATTTTTTTCAATAAATTTTAGAGATAAACACACACACAGAGTACAGTTTTAGGGTCCAGTGTTTTTAAGCAGGTTCAAAGTAAGAAAATGTCCTTATTCTGATTAAGAAATGTACTCTGAATGAAGGGGGATTTTTCTATATGCTTCATATTATCCACAAAAGCAGAAAATAGAGTTCTTTATAACTTCTACAAAGACGGGCTATTGAAAATAACTTTAAAACATAAGAATATGCTATTCAAGGATCAGAAATCTTTCTAAGGTGAGCTGTCAAATCTTCTTTTATTTGTGTCTTTTGTGAAAGAGTGGTAGTGGTGGTTATGTGCCGTGAAGTCGCTTCCGACTCACAGTGACCCTGTACAGGGTTTCCAAGGCTGTAAATTTTTATGGGAGCAGAAAGTCTCATCTTTCTCCCACAGAACAGCTGGTAGTTTTGAACTGCTGACCTTGTGGTTTGCAGCCTGATTCGTAACCACTACGCTAGGGTAGATAGGGAAAAACATAAATGTATGAGAGTGAGTAAAAACTTATCTGCACTATGGCTACAGAGTAAAATAAATTCTGTAGTCAACTTTTGTAAAAGACAAATATATCATTTTTCAACACAGTCTCTTTGCTTTTTAATACACTTTGTCCATCTGTCAACAAGCTTTTGTATTCCCTTATTTTCAAAATGTTTTAGGCTGAGCAGCAAGCCACGAATGCACTGCAGTCTTCACTTCTTCATCAGAGGTGAATCTTTGTCCTCGAAGGGCTGCTTTCAGGGGACCAAACAGGTGAAAGTCTGATGGAGCAAGATCAGGACTATAGAGAGGTTGCTTTAACATCTCAAAACGATGTTTCTGCAGAGTGTCAACAGTATGGGCAGAGGTGTACAGCCGGACATGCATTGTTATGCAAGATCACATTGTTATGCTCTTGGATAACAGTTCTCTGCGTTTAATTCAAAGTTTAGGCATCAAAATTTCAGCACAACTCACTGTAATGTTGATTGTTGAACCTTTTTTCTGAAAATGTTCCAATACTGGCCCTTGAGAATCCCAGAAAACTGTAAGCATCAATTTTCCAGCTGATGACTTACTTTGGAACTTATTCTTGGTGGGCCCGATTGAGGATGTTTCCATTTCACACTCTGCCATTTACTCTCAGGCTCGTAGTGATGAATCCATGTTCTCATCACTAGTAACAATTTTTTTAAAGAAATTTACCTTCCTTTGAATAACAGTCCAAATTTCGTTTGCAGAAGTCCTAACACTTCTGTTTATGCTGTTCCGTGAGTTGTTTGGTACCCAACTCACACAAACTTTTCGAAATCCAATTCTGTCATGGATTATTTCCTAGACAGAGCCATGGTCTATTTAACAGACTCATTTCATGTGCATGCTCAATGTTGTCATCAGCCATGGACGTGGACAGGCATTTTAATATAACTGAAATGCAGGTAATTTTGACTCATCCTTGTAGATACAGGGGAAAAACACATTTCTTAATCATCTGAAACAAGCAAAAGTTGACAGCAAAGCCATTTGAACTGCAAGGTCGGCAGTTCAAGCTCACCAGCTGCTCCTCAGAAACCATATACAGGGTCACTATTGCTTGGAACTGACTTGACGGCACTTCACAAGAACAACAAATCTTGACAATACCATGGATTGCCAGAAGGACAAACAAATCTGTGTTTGAAGAGGTACAGCCACAATGCTTCTCAGAAGCAAGGATGTCGAGACTTTGTCTCTCATACTTTGGACCTATTATCAAAAGGGACCAGTCCCTGGGGAAGGACATCATGATTCATAAAAGTAGAAGGTCAACAAAAAGGAGGAAGACTCCACAATGAGTCGGACTGGCACAGTGGCACCAGCAATAGATTCAAGTGTAACAAAGGTGAAGATGCCACAGAACTGGGCAGTGTTTCGTTCTCTTGTGCATAGGGTTGCTGTGAGTTGGAACCAACCTGACAGTACCTAACAATGACATCTTATTAAAATCCCAAGTTCTATAACTAATAAATTCTGGAGAAAAGATTCTAATTCAGTTTTGTTTGCATCCAAATCTTTTCAGCTGATTCATACTACCCCTTTTATTCATACATATATGTTTAAAAAAACGCATCCTATATTTCAGATTCTCAATATTCAAGAACACCAGAGTGATTTATAGGGAGAACAGATGCTTAGAAAGTTAAAGAAAGAAATGTTTGGCGACTCAGAAACTTATGGTGATGATCATAATGATCTGAAATGTATCTGTTTGGTAGCAATAATTCCCACTTCAAAAACATAAATATTTAAAATGCTGGGTGTATCCTTGATTATTAAAATTCAGGTTCACTAGTGCCCTTAAAGGAGTTCTGGCAGCATAGTGGTTACAAATTGGGCTGCTAACCTGAGGGTCCGCAGTTTGAAACTACCAGCTGTTCCTTGAGAGAAAGATGAGGCTTTCTGCTCTCATAAAGATTTACAGCCTTGGAAACCCTATGCAGGGTCACTGTGAGTCAGAACAAGACTCCACGGCACATAGCCACCACAATAAAATGAACCTCTTGTGTCCTAACCAAATATACATGTGGTTCCTTAGTGAAGGTGCTTACCCCAGTATTAAATTTAACAGGAGAGGAGCTTTCAGAAGGGCTGCAACAATCTACTGTCTCAAAAGATGTGGAAGCATTCACATTCTGGTTCTTGTTAAGGGCTTCATTAGTCCAGGAGGGAGACTGGATATTGTGCCTATCTTGCGATTCTGTCTCATTAGTGACCCTATGTCAAGAAAAGCACAAAGCATTTCATTTCAACATGATTCTAATTGAAAGGAGTGTTATATGGAGGTAACATGGTATTATGGTAAAGCAATGGTTTCAGAACACCAGTCGGAGAACTTATGGAAATCTGAGGTTAAAGTATGGAAAACAAGGGCAATGTAATGAATATTTCATTAAATTGAACTCATTCAAATTAAAGACAAACATCTAATCATACCTTGGGTATGTTAAAATATTCAATCTTTTAGGAAATATAGGGATAACTAAAAAATTTAAATGACATTAGAGCCATTTCCTCTTAAACGTTCTAATGTGTGAAATCATAAAGTTTGGTTAGCTTACAAAGGGGAATAGATGTTACCATTGCTCTATAGCGTCTTCTCTTTCCATATTATCATTACTCACTTAAGGAAGACTTCTTCCATGGTAGTGACAGAGGCACCAAAACTAGTGATGCCCAGCTCTTCCTGTCTTTCTTCCAGATCAGTAAACAAAATTTCAAACCTAAGTGAAGAAAACAAGAGAAAAACCAGCACCCAGATTATTATTTTCATATATATATTGGCAGCGTAGTGGTTACGAATCGGGCTGCTAACCTCAAGGTCAGCAGTTCGAAACTTCCAGCGGTTCCATGGGAGAAAGATGAGGCGTTCTGCTCCCGGAAAGATCTACAGCCTTGGAAACCCTGTGCAGGGTCACTATGAGTGGGAACTGACTCCACGGTACTTAACAGCAACAAGAATACATACTGATGAAGATCAAAGAGCACAGCCTTCGGTATGGATTACATCTCAATGTAAAGAAAACAAAAATCCTCACCACTGGACCAATAAACAACATTCTTATCAATGGAGAAAAGACTGAAGTTGTCAAGGACTTCATTCTTCTTGGATCAACTATCAACACTCATGGAAGTAGCAGTCAAGAAATCAGACGACGTATTGCATTAGGCAAATGTGCTGCACAAGACCTTTTTAAAGTGTTGAAGACCAAAGATGTCAGCTTGAGGACTAAGGTGCACCTGACCCAAGCCATGGTATTTTCAATAACCTCATATGCATGCAGAAGCTGGACAGAAAATAAGGAAGACCGTAGAAGAATTGATGCTTTTGAGTTATGGTGTTGGAGGAGAATATTGAAAGTGCCATGGGTTGCCAAAAGAACCATTAGATTCATTTTGGAAGAAGTGCTCCTTGGAGGCCAGGATGGCCAAACTTTGTCTCTCATACTTCGGACATATTGTCAGGAGGGACCAGTCGCTGGAGGAGGATATCATGTTTGGTAAGGTGGAGGATCAGAGAAAAAGACCACCAGTGACATGGATTGGCTAAGTGGCAGCATCAGTGGGCTCAAGCATGGCAATGATAGTGAGGTTGGCCCAGGATCAAGCAGTCTTTCATTCTGCTGTGTATAAGGTCATTATGAGTTGGTACCGACACGATGGCACCTAACAACAGTATATATACACACACACACACACACACACATACATATAGACATTTTTTAAAATTCTAAAATGATTTCCCCTGAGCAGTGGGAAAAGTGTAGACCATTCTTCACTAGAATGCTTATTATAGTTTTTTTTGCCTCTGGTAATTTGGAAGTGTGGGAGAAATTAAGGGAAAGAAATTAGCAAATTTCTATAACAAACTGCTTTCATCTCTACTTAGTTCTTGGATATACATGTGGCATGACAGGATAAGCACTGGACTACAAGATCAGCTTAAACCACAATGTAGGCAGTTCAAACTCACCAGCTGCTCCTTGGAAACCCTATACAGGATTGCTATGAGTTGGAACTGACTCTCTGGCACGTAACTACAATCAGAGTATCTAAAGACTCGATATTTTAGCAACTCTTAGTTAGTTGATATGACTTAACTTGTCATCCACATACATGCTACAGTTCAAGGGGCCCTAGTGGTACAGTAGTTGATTGCATCCTGCTAACAGGAAGATCAGTGGTTCAATTCACCAGCCTCTTCATGGGAGAAAGTTTTGGTAGTTTACTTCCATAAAGATCACAGCCTTGGAAACCCTATGGGTAGCAGCTCTATTCTTTCCTATGATTTTACTCTGAGACGGAACCGACTTAATGCACACAGCAACAGCATGCTGTGTTTTCTATTACTCAGTAAATCAAAAAGGAAAGTCATCTTCAAATAAACAAGAAGACTCTCAAAAAGAGAAAATGGAGCAGAAGCAGCAGAAGTTGAAGCCTTAAAGAGAACTGTATGATTAAATGACCAGGGAAGAGCTATGGTAGTTAAGCAGATGTGATGTGGAAACATCAGGATTTTTTAAAAGATTTTATTGTGAATTGAGTGATAATTTACATGGGAGAACATCGGTTTTACAGTCATTGTTTTATTGCAATGATTTATACAAAATCCTCCGTGCATCATCATTCAACAGTATTTGCTTCTATTTCTTCTGTTTTTTGTTTCTGGAATGTACACAAAAACACTCAGGAATATATAATCATTTAAACACCTGTCACCCCTGGCTCCAAGAATCACCATTTAAATCCTGAAAAAATTATCTTTATATTTTGTTTCACAGGTCAAAATTTGTACTCTGCCTACAAATAATCAGCAGTTATTATCAGTGTACACCAAGAAGCGATAGCAAATAATTGGTATTTTCATTTCAGTTTAAGTGGCATCTAACAATGAAATTTTGATTCATTACATAAATTCTACTTGCTAAGCCTAAAGAAACCAAGGGCATCCCAAAAAACTGCTGGCTATTTAAAAGAATCAACCATTTAGCAATCTCTGGATGCATACCTGTGTGTGTACTCTTTGGGTAGAATAAATGACAATTCACCTCCAACACTGTTCTCCAAAGTAGCTGTTGGTATATAGTAATTAATCAATTGGGTTACTGCTTCAACCTTACAGTGAGGTTCCTTTACCATGACTATGTGGTATCCCACACCTGAAATAAGTCATTTAGAAGAACAAATAAAACAATTAGATAAAAAACAGATATCTGAAAAATTCTTCCAAATTCTCTGCACCTTCACTAAGAGCATTGTGTTTTGTTGTTGTTAAGTACCATCAAGTTGGTTCTGGCTCCTGGAGACACTGTACAGGGTGAATAAGGCAGCAAATCTTAACAGGAGCAAAAAGTCACATCATTCCCCACGGAGCAGCTGATGGGCTCAAACCCCCAACTTTGTGGTCCACAGTGTAGTGCTTATCCTACAGAGCCACTGCACTCCCCGAGAACACAGTACTGGTCTGTCAGAAACTAGAAATCAAGGTTTGTAGCTGAGACAATCCCTCCAAGGCGTTTCAGGATTTTGCAAAAATATTACAATATCATACTAGAGGCTCAAGGCAGGGCAGAATAGCTCAAAAATGTGTGTGGCACATCAGTCTTTGACTTAGTACACTCCGATTGCCCTCTGAAGGCCTGGGAGAGGGATCTATACCAAGCTTCTCTACCTGAAGAAAATGGGTATTTGTCACAAGAAATTCCTGCATTATGGACAGGATTCAACTATCTCTGCATTCATTTAAATAAATGACTGATAATTATACATTGTATTTACTAATTTTACTAGGTATTAATGAAGTAGTGGTGATTATGTACCATCAAGCCAACTCATAAGGACGCGGGACAGGGTTTCTGAGGCTGTCTACCTTCACAGGGGCAGACGGCCTCATTTTCCTCCCGCAGAGCAGCTGGTAGATTCAGAAGAATTATGACATATTGGTGACAAGGTTTTGAAATTTTATTTAGGAGGCCAAAAAAGTCTGATGTATGTGTAATTTTGGATAACAGCCTGTAAGAAGAGTTCAGAAAGCTATTAAGACATATTTGGTATGTCCCAAGCTTAGAAAAATTCTTCTTCAGATTACAAGAAAAAAAAATTCTGTATCTATTGGTGATTTGGTACTGGTTTGACAAATAAGAAACAAATAACTGGTTTTGTACATTTCCCCTGTAATCCATCCACTGTTTGTCTGTCTGTCTATTTATCGATTTCTCCAGCAATCAAACATCATTTGAAGGGACAACTGCATTTATGCAAATTACAATCTCAGCAGAAGCCAGATGGGAGAAATAAATGCAGCAATGAGAAATACATTTGAATCATTAAAATGACTAAATATTATTTTAATGGTTCAAATACTTCTGTTATTCAGATATACAGTTTAAATAGTTGTGCCCTAAGTAACAGAGCAGAGGCAGCCATTGAAGCTCTGCATAGGGAGACGAAACCAATTATCCTGTTAGAAGACTAGGAAAGCTGCAGTAGCCAAAGACCGAGCACAGAGAGACAGACCGTAGATTTGCTTCAGGAAGATCGAAGAGCCACAGCACTGCAGGGTTCCCCGGACTAGGATGGCAATGCGGTCACCCAGGATGTCCGCTTCATCCATAAAGTGGGTGGTCAGTAAGATAGTACGATCCTGTTTGTAGTGCTGAAGGAGATCCCATGTGACCCGCCTTGAAATTGGGTCCATGCCAGATGTTGGCTCATCAAGTATCACCACCTGAAGACCAGAAGAACAATTCTATGATTCTTGTTAATAAATGTTATGCCACTAGTGTTCTACCAGTCGTGTGCTTACCATCGTTTAGCTTTATAAAGTCATTTGTCCAGCTAAGGAAGCTAGTACACTAAGACGAGAACTGGATTAGCAATGTCAGAATAATGCCAGCCTTGTGGGCACATGATAGCAACTGGACTAAAACTGTGACTCCTATCTGGTTGTCACTTGGCAGGCTCCTTTTAGAATACTAAATCATAGCAGCTCTAAGGTTTGCATGTGCTAAATGTTTTCTCACCAGTTGCAGCAGGGATCCACTTGTAGCTCCTGCTTCCTGTCTCGCTCTCTTTTCTTACCTTGGAGCCCCCTATAAGTGCTATAATGATGCAGAGTTTGCGCTTCATTCCTCCACTCAGTGACTGGGAAAAGGTGTGACGCTTTTCCAGTAGGTTAAAAGCAGTCAGCATATGCTCAATCTCCACAGCACGCAGCTTGCTGGGTATGCCTTTTATCTAGAAAGAGGAGCCCGAGATTAAAAGCTACTTATAGCTTTATTCTTAGAAACATTTTACATCAACTTTTTCTTACATTACTTATATAGTGTCTTCTTCATCTTGCCTACCTTTATGTCTTAAGGAGAATTTTTTTAAACTAAAGTACTGAATTTGATAATAAAAGGTATTAAAAAATCATAATTTATTTAAAGAACATGAATAGAATTGGAAAAAGGAACATATCTTTGGCTCACCACACAATAAAAAAAAAGATGTTCTGATACGGTCAAGTGATTAAACAACAGATCCTGCTGGGGACACAAGCCCAAGCTTTTCCTGATTTGGACCATGTCCTTTGAGGTGTCATATCCATTAATATAGGCTTCCCCACTGGTAGGAGGATAGAGACCTAGGATTAAGCAGAAGACATAAAAAAGTTTCTTTTTCATGACAGAACCTAGTGGTACACCACGAACACGTCATCTTTGGAGTTCACTTATGAATTACCCAATAGCTCATAAGAATTAGCAAGACTTCACTAAGAAAACAATTCGGAGGAAAACATCAATGGTTATCTTTTTATTGGACGGTTATACACAGTTTTTGAATTCTTCTTTTTGCTAAAACTGTTCTAATTACCCATGAATATGAATGAGTACAAATCACTCAGGTAATAAAATCACTACAGACTTAGCTATACTAGGTCATTACACCATTGTTATCAAGCCATTGCCCACTTGTGAGCTATATGCTGACAACTTTAATTGCCTTATCATTCACCATGATGTTGTTTAATAGAACATTTATTAGGATTTCCATTTTTTTCACATTTAGATGTAATCCACACTGAAGGTTTCATCAACTAGTGCTTCAATTGTCTTCATTTCAATGAGCAAGTTTGTGTCACCTGCATATCACAGCTCGTTAATGAGTCTTCCTCCAATTCTGATGCTACTTTCTTTTTCATATAATCCAGCTACTTCAATTATTTGCTCAGAATACAGACTGAATTGTATTGTTACACATGTTTTCCAAAACTATGCAGTTTTCGCTAGTTCTGTTCATACAACAAGGTTTTGTATTATTAGCACAATTAAGTTTCTGGGAGCCCTAGTCATTGTAATATTATCCACAATTTGTTTAGATCTACATAGTTAAGTGACTTTTCATAGTCAATAAAACACAGGTAAAATTTAAATTTTAGTTGTTTTAAAGTTTAAATGTATGTCCGATTACCCCTATAGACTTTCAAATTCCATCACAGTCCTTTCATTTCTGATCTTAGCAACTGGATTTTTCTCTTATATGCTTGTCAATCTAGTTAAAGATTTGTCAATTTTACAGGTCTGATTTTTTGTTTCATTAATTTTCTCAATTATGCTTATATACTCAATTTCATTAATTCCCACATTCCCTACTAACAAGCTAGTGCCACAGAGTCCATTTCGACTCATAATGACCCTGTAAGACAGAATAAACTAGCTCCAAAGGGTTTTTGAGGTTGAAATGTTTATAAAAGATGACATCTCACTTTTCTCCTTCATTGAGGCTGATGAGTTTGAACCACTGACGTTTTGTTTAGCAGTCCATCACGAAATCAACTGTGCCACTCAAAAAACTCCCACACCAACACCACTCAATGAGCTGATTTTGACTCCTGGCAACCCTATGTCAGGTGTCTGAGACTACCAATCCTTATGGGAGTAGACAGCCTCTTTCTCCCAAGGAGTGGCTGGTGGGTTTTAGTCGCACACCTTTTGTAAGCAGTCCAATGTCTAACCTGCCATCCCACCAGGGTTCCTTAATCCCTATGATTTCCTTCTTTCTGCTTGCTTTGGTTTTAGCTTAGTCTTCCTTTCCCAGTGTTTCAAGGTGGAACTTCAGGTTATTGATTTAAGAAATTTCCTTTTTTTACAATATAGATGTCAATTTCTCTCTAAGCACTGCTTTAGTTAACTAAAACTTCTAATGAAATGTACAAAGACCTGGAGTCAGAAAACCAAAAGCGAAGAACATGCTCAGCATTTCTCAAGCTGAAAGAACTGAAGGAAAAAAATTCAAGCTGCAAATTGAAATACTGAAGAATTCTTTGGGCAAAATACTGAACGATGCAAGAAGCATCAAAAGAAGCTGGAGTGACTACACAGAACCACTGTGGAAAGACTCAGGTGATGTTCAGCCATTTTGGAAGGGAGTACATGCTCCATACGCACAGAAGCAGCAGTTGAGTGTACTGAAGAACAAAGACCAAGCTGCGCTGAAGGCACTGTGAAAAACAAAGCTCCAGAAATGGATACAAAACACATTGAAGTGTTTCAACAAATTGATACAACACTAGGGGCAATCACTCATCTAATCCAAGAAATTTAGTCAACCGACAGCAAGAGATCGATATTTGTTCCCATGCCAAAGAAAGGTGACCCAACTGAATGCATAAATCACAGAACAGTATCATTAATATCACATACAAGTAAAATTTTACTGAAGATCATTTTAAAAGGGTTGTAGCAGTACATTGACATTGAGCTGCCAGAAATTTAAACTGAATCCAGAAGAGGTCATGGAACCAGGGATATCATTGCAGAAGCCACATGGATCTTGGCTAAAAGCATAAAATACCAGAAAGACATTTACTTGTGTTTTATTGACCATGCAAAGGCTTTTGACTGTGTGGATCATAACAAATTATAGATAACACTGAGAAGAATAGGAATTCCAGAACACTTAATTATGCTCATGAAGAATTTGTACATAGGCCAAGGAGTGTCATTTGAACATTTAATTGTGCTTATGAGGAACCTGTACCTAGGCCAAGGAGCAGTCATTTGAACAGAACAAGGCAATACTTGAATAGTTTAAAATCAGGAAAGTGGTGTTTCAGGGTTGTGTCTTTTCATCGTATTTATTTAAACTTTATGCTAAGCAAATACTCTGAGAAACTGGATTATATGAAGAAGAATGTGACATCAGGATTGCAGAAAGACTCATTAACAATCTGTGATATGCAGATGACACAACTTTGCCTGTAAGAATCTAAGAGGACTTGAAATACTTACTGATGAAGATCAAAGATTTCAGTCCTTAATGTACAAAAATCCTCACTAGACCAATAAATAGCATCATGAAAAGTTGAGAAAAGATGAAACTGTCAAAGATTTAATTTTACTTGGATCTACAATCAACACTCATAGAAGCAGTAGCCAAGAAATCAAACAACATACGATATTAGACAAATCTGCTGCAAAAGACCTCTTAACTAAGGTGTACCTGACCCAAGCCAAGATATTTTCAAGTGCTTAATCTGCACGCAAAAGCTAGACAATAAATAAGGAAGACTGGAAAAGAATCAAAGCATTTGAATTATAGTGCTGGTGAGGAATACTGAATATACCATGGACTGTGAAAAGAACAAACACATCTGTCTTGGAAGAAGTACAGCTAGAATGTTCCTTAGAAGTGAGAATGGCAAGACTTCATCTCACATACTTTGGATACATTATCAGACTCAACCATAACAATTGTGAGGATTGCATACGATTGGGCAGTGTCTCATTCTGCTGTGCATAAGGTAGCTATGAGTCAGAACAGACTCGAGGTCATCTAACAACAACAGCAGAAACTGCTTTAGATGCAACCCATTCGTTTTGGTAATTTTGATTTTATTTTTATTCATCTCAAATTATTTCCTATTTCCCTTGCTGTGGATGTAAGATTCTTAGCTGACAGACTATTCTTCCAGTACTTTGAACACTGCCTTCTGACCACCATTGTTTCTGATGAGAAGTCAGCTGTTGATCTTCCTTTACTATTCTCTACTCTGTCTTTTTATCTTCCCTCTCCCTGGGTTTTCTAAGTTTGTTTTGTTTTGTTTTTTTCCCTCTCTTCTTTTTATTTCCTTATTTTTCTCTCAGTTCAATTTTTCTGTCCATCTTTTAACTTTTTAGTTATTCTATTCTTTTTTTTCTGCGTGCTGCCTGGTTTTATTTCTTTTTTCTCCTTTAATTGTTGGTAGTTGATTTTACTGAGATTCTCTTTTATGTAACAAGTCACTTTTCTTTTGATGCTTTAGAGAATTTCTATTTGTCTGTGTCCTTCAGAATTTCTACTTGATGTGTCTAGGGGTAGATCTCTTTATATTTATTCCATTACAATGTATTAAGCTTCTTTGATGTGTAGATTAATGATTTTCAGATGTTTTGAACTGTAATATCTTAGAATGATTTTTCGTACTCCTTTCTTTTTCTCCTTTCCTCTAGAACCACTACTGACGCATTTAAAAGTATCTCACATTTCTCTGAGGCTCTTCAATCTCTTTGGTCTCTGTTCTTTTTACCTTTGTGTCTCATTTCATATTACATAAAATTAGATTGTTGTTATTGTTAACTGTTGTTGAGTTGGTTCTGACTCACAGAGGCCCTGTTTCTGAGGCTTTAAATCTTCACAGGAGCAGAAAGCTTCATCTTTCTCCCATGGAGTGTTTGGTGGGCTTAAACTGCCAACACGTGGTGTGCAGTCCAGGACTTATCATTTGGAGTCACTGGGGCTCCTCACAAAATTAGATTGTTGTTGTTGTTAAGTGCCATTGAACTGGTTCCAACTCAGAGTGCCCCTGTATAGGGTTCCTGAGGAGTGGCTGGTTATTACTGATTGCTGTAGTGTTCCTAACAATGCCATTCCACATAAATTGCTCAACAATCTAATACAGTTAAATTCATCAGGGCCTGTATTTAAGGTCAGGCTTAAACGTCACACTCTGTTTGAAATAAAGTCAGTTGTGAAATAAAGTCAGTTCTTTTTTGAAGAACTTTGGAATTGTCTTTTTTATGAACTCTCCTGATACACAAAATCTTTTAGTCACAACTCTAGGCAGTGAGTCTGGCACTAATCTCTAATCTTCTTTTCTTGATTTCCTGGTGTGTACCTTCTTCCCTAAGAGAAAACTGGGGAGAAGCAATTAGGGAACCACCCTGCCTCGCCTGAGGGAGAAAGATTATATTATGCATAGGCAGTGGGCGGTAGAACAGAGTACTTTATTTCTTGGCTACAATCAACAGGAATTCAGCCACTTCAAATCAGACTAGAAGAAGATGGTAGGTGCCAGCCATCTGCTTCTTCCAGTGAAATAAAGTTACCCTTACTTAGAAGCTGAGGATAGTGGGATACTTACTTGTCTTCTTGGTCACACCTACTTTGAATGGAAATTAAATCAGCTGATTGGGGTGAATAGATTTAAACGTATCTTAAATTGCACAGACTCTTGCTGTCCTTACTGAGTTTTAGTAATTTTTATTGAATAAATAGTTCTTCATTGGCTATATGCCTTTAATACAATCTGAAGAGACTTGAAGTGGCTAAGATACTTGTTTGTTTGTTTTGGCCAACTCTACCTATTTTTCTTCACACTGTCATCCTCAAAGTGGAATTACTTATTCAAACAGTTAATAATTTTCTAAAGAAATTTTAACATGGTACAGTATTTACCAAGCAGCAGTCAAGAGATCAGACGACGTATTGCATTGGGCAAATCTGCTGCACAGGAACTTTTTAAAGTATTGAAGAGCAGAGATGTCAGCTTGAGGACTAGGGTGCGCCTGACCCAGGCCATTGTGTTTTCAATAACCTTATATGGATGCGAAAGCTGGACAGTGAATAAGGAAGATTGTAGAAGAATTGATGCCTTTGAGTTGTGGTGTTGGAGGAGAATACTGATAGTGCCATGGACTGCCAAAAGAACCAATAGATCTGTTTTGGAAGAAGTGCAACCAGAGTGCTCCTTGGAGGCCAAGATGGCTAGGCTTCATCTCTCATACTTTGGACACATTGTCCGGAAAGAACAGTCGCTGGAAAACGATATCATGCTGGGTAAGGTGGAGGGTCAGAGAAAAAGAGGAAGACCTCTCACGAGATGGATCAGCCAGGTGGCATCATTGATGGACTCAAGTGTGGCGGCAGTAGTGAGGTTGGCCCAGGATCAGACATTGTTTCGTTCTGCTGTGCATGGGGTCGCTATGAGTCGGTTCCAACTCGATGGCACCTGACAACAACAACAACAGTATTTACCCACATTTTATCATTTCTGGTGTTGTTCATTTCTTCCTATTTTTCTGAGTTTCATTGTGGAATAACTTATCATCTACCTCCTTGTTTCCTTGGAGTATGTAGGATATTGTCTACCTTGGTGAATGTCCCACAGGTGGTTGAAAAGAATGTACATTATGTTGTTGCTGGGAGTGCTTTCTATAAATATCAATTCCATTCTGTTGGTTGATTGTGTTAAATGCTGTCTTTTTACTGATTTTCTGTATAGTAGTTCTATCAGTTGGTGTAAGAGTGCTGTTGAATTCTCCAACTATAAACGATTTGAAAATTCATTTTTTTCACATCTGTTAGTTTTTGCTTTAGGGATTTTGATACTCCATTTTTTGGTGCACATGAATTTAGAATTCCTATGCCATTGACCTTTTTTTATCATTATGTAATGTCCTTTTTTTTTCCTTTTCCAAAATAAATGCTCTTTTAAATTTTTTGTATTATAAAAATTGCTTGAAACTCATAAAGAAAGTGGATTAGTAGGCAACTTTTTACATATCACTGAAAGAACTAAACTTAAAACAAGAGGGGTGCAGGAAAGTCTCAACTATTTGTTGAGTTTCTGTATGAGGACAGCCCACAGTCTCCCCTGTGGACAGAGCGGAACACATACCTGACAGCATAGAGAGAATGGTGGACTTTCCTGCTCCGCTGTGGCCTAGAAGAACAGTTATCTGTCCCTCATACAAGTTCAGAGATAAGTCTTTCACAGCGAGTCTCGTAGTGTTGTACACACTGAATGCCTGTGGGAGGGAAAACCCACAAATACTAACTTTATATTGATCGCTGTCAATTGTGAAGGAAAGCACACATTGTCAATTGTATGTAGAATAAATACCGTATCATTAGTCTCATGACAAAGACGTGTAAGGTGGATAAAACAGAAAAGAAGTGCTTGAAGACATAACATGAGTGTTTAGAAATTCAAAGTAGACATGCAAATGTCTTCTGAGCAATTTTATCCACTCCTACTTTATTTCAATTACCATCTGGAAGCTGATATTGCTACAGTCTTCTTTAGTTGCTGTTTCCTCCGATTTGGAGAACTGACAATTGAAAACCTATATATATATATACACACAGTTGTTAAGTGCCTTCGATTCGGTTCAGACCCATAGCGACCCTGTTCAGGGTTTCCGAGGAGCGGCTGATGAGCTTGAAGCACCAATCTTGTGGTTCAAACCAATCTTGCAGTCCAGCACATTAGCCCACAGTGCCAAAGCAGGACTGCATATTTTATAGGGTATCTGAAATTCCTCATCTAGACTAAGAGTGCTTCTTGTTAAGATGTAAAACAACCCACTGTAACAATAAGAAAAAACTGATTATACAATTTTAACCTTCCACAAACACATCATAGAGATGACCTTTCAAGACGATCATATCCTTAACTTTAAGAAACAATAAATACCTAAAGGAGAGATGGCACATGAACATTTACTTACCTGGAGCAGAAACTGGATATATCCAAATTGGTAAAAAGATTTTGACTGAGTTTTAAAAACAAAAGTGAGGTAAAAACAGGTTTTGTTTTTTTTCCAAAAAGCATTGTATATTGTTCCATAAACAATGCTTAAATGGAAGAGTTTGGATTAGACACAAATAATTCACACTTAAACTATAAGGTAGACATCCCGTGTAACAAAAAAATCCTTTTTTTTTAGAAACCCCAAATTGCTTCTCTATACATTTCTCCGTAAGTATCCTCATTCTATATCTTCCCTAGACCTTAAACGAGACTTATATTAACTGCTTATTTAAAATTTGTACTTGCATGACTGTCTAAACTTCCGAGGTCCAAAGAGGGACTCTAAATTTTTCAGGCCTTCAATTATAAAGCAACTAACTGGAGAGAGCTTGGAATTAATCCCTCCTGTCCTTAGGAGAAAAAGCTGAATATCTGAAACTCAGCCATTCTGCATAGATCCATCTGAGAATTGAGAACACAGAGCTTATCATTGATTAATCATGGCCATGAAAACAGGAAAGAGAGAATACATAGAATCATTGTTTAATGGGAGCAGATATTGCAGCTGTCACCACTGTTGGACTCAGTATTGGGCAGGAAGACTTGAAGGGTAATTGACTAATTGTTAAAGACTCAGTGTGAATTTTCTTGAGAGACAAAAATTCCTAGAAGGCCAGCTTTGGGGGCCCCCTACTTCCACTAGTTTCATCTTTAGGAACCCAAGGTTTTCACTGTGGAGCTTAAGAGAAAAACTCCTTTAGGCTTCTAACAAAAGGAGAATGAAACAAACTTTTGTCCTCTGCCAGAGCCTCGTCAATGTGGGTTTGGAGGAAGGGAATCCACAAGCTCACCCATCTAGCCTTCCTGATGAGACAGGGAAATATCAAATTCAGTTCCCTTCCACCCTTCAAGATGTTGTTGTTGTTGTTAAGTACCGTGGAGTCAGTTCCGACTCATAGTGACCTTACATAGGGTTTCCGAGGCTGTAAATCTTTATGGGAGCAGACCACCTCATCTTTCTCCTGCGGAACCACTGGTAGTTTCGAACTTCTAACCTTCAGGTTAGCAACCCAATTCGTAACCACTACGCTACCAGAGCTCCTTCAAGATTGGTGAAGGGAAATAACAACAGCTGCCACTAAAAGTAGACATGTTGTTGTTGTTGTTAGGTGTCATCGAGTCGGTACTGACTCATAGCGACCTTATGCACAGCAGAACAAAACACTGCCTGATTCTGGGCCAACCTCACTACTGTTGCCACGCTTGAGTCCATCGATGCTACCACCTGGCCAGTCCATCTCATTGGGGGTCTTCTGGAGGTAAGGAAATACCCTAGTCCCTCTAGTCCCTCTAGCCCTCATGTTTCACCAACAGATGGAAAAGAACAAAAGCTGAGAAGCACTTGTGAATGTCACAACCTAAGGACACAGGCTCAGTAAGAGAAGGAAGCTTAATCATGTTTCCCCTTCTCTCACACTGATCACCAGATTAACATCAATAGAACTTGACACCTGAAGAACCTCAGCTGTTTGTATTTTGCAGAAAAACTTTTAGTAACAAATTACACAACAAATACACATCCTTTCATCAAAATAACACACCAACTTTTGAGTTGTCCAACTACCCCCTCTGAAATGTCCAACTACCCCCTCTGAGAAGACTTCTCATGAAACAAAATAAAATAGAACCAGTATATACTTTTGAATCATTCTAAAACTGACCCTTCTAACCAGAGATGACTTTCTGATATTACTTAAGAACAAATTATATAATACTATACAAGGTGAGTACTGACTTCTTCAACTCTGAAAAAAAAAAAGAGATATGCATTCCATCAAAACAAACATTTTTAATTGACTCATAAAAACATAAAGCATTATATACTCCTTAACATAAAATAGTTAACTTCTCTAATAAAGATAAAATCCATGATCTCTTCTTGAGTATCTTAAATAAGAGCATCAAGGGTTCTATATGATTGTATTACAATGTATGTAGATATAATAGTTCAGACTAGCAACGGCAGTACTGATTTGTGAATGCATTTATGGTCTTTCAATGAAATACTTCATGTATTCTTATCTACTCATGGAATTGTGTTTTATTGCACTTTGATTTATTGCATTTTGCAAATATTCTGTTTTTACAATCTGAACATTTTTGGCAACCCTGCATCAATAAAGTCTATTGGAGTCATTTCTCCTATAGCATGTGCTCACTTCCTGGCTCTGTCAAAGTCAAGAAAGAAGTCAAGAAGTCAAGAAAGAAAGAATAAATGGATGCTTGAATGAAAGAAGATAGACGCAATAAAAAGAACACTGATAACAAGTAGAATATTGTTAAAATATGGCAGGTATTAGTCTGACTATAACAAAAATCACTGTAAACATGAATGATCTAAATAGAGCAATGAAAAAACAGACTATTAAAGTAGATTAGAAAACCAAGACCCAAGTGTATCTTATATACAAAAAAACCACTTCAAATATTAAGGCACTGATAGATTAGAAGTAAATGGATGGAAATAGATGTGCTATGCTAAAAAAAAAAAAAAAAAAAAACAACACAAAAAACTGGAGTAGGAAAGATTCATTTCAGACAAAGCAGATTTCTGAGCCAGGAAACTTGTCAGGGATAAAATGTGGACTACATCATGATTCATGCGCCAACTCTCCAAGAAGACACAACAATTCTTAATGTGTCTGTGCCTACCAACAGAACATCAAATACATGAGGCAAAAAGCAAAAGACAAAGCAAACCCAGCCTTCCTTTCTGGAAGGTAGAGAGGGTCATCTTAAAGAAAATATACCAATCTTATAAAATGTTTTCACTTTTTAAATCTTTAATAATATTCTCATTTAAAAGTGTCATTACAAAACTTCCATTGTGTTAACAAGATATTATCATGCTTCATTTCTTTTGAAGTTTGCAGAGCTTAACCAGTAAGATGGACAGCTTTTCCACTAACTCACTTGCTCTCTCCAGGATCACTGACAAGTCATTCACTATTGTATTACAGAATCATTCACTATTGTATTTCTGAATCATACACTATTGTATTACAGAATCATTCACTATTGTATTTCTGAATCATACACTATTGTATTACAGAATCATTCACTATTGTATTACAGACTCATTCATTCAACAAACATTGAAATAAAACCTAATAGCTAATTGAGTTTTCAGATGATAAAGCTAATTTTTTAACAGAGTGTTTTAGAATATTCCAATGAATTCTTTTTCAGGTCCAAGAACAGGTTCTGAGGGGGAGGCATGACATGGACGTTTTAGTTCTCTAGTATGGAACAACCTGGTCCTCTGCAGAGAATCACCAGACATTATGTCCTGAAAGCACGTAAAAACGGGTCTGACTAGTGATTATTAAGAACAGAGCTGTTTTAAAGACTTGAAATACATTTTTATAAAACAAAAACTTTATCACTCAGCAAATAAAATATATTATCCAAACATGTATTCTTTACATAATCATTATGAAATAAGGTTATCAATGTCAAATAAAATATTTTCTGTAAGTGCTTCTATTCATGTCTTCATGACCAATTTTTCATTTCACTTTTCCAAATGTTGTATGCAACACTTGAGGTATGAAGAATTCTCAAATACCACGGCAAAGGACTTGAACATTCACCTACAGCTCCCTAGAGGATGGAATTTTTGGTTCCACTTGTAAGATGCAGTTGTGGTCCTAGTGGTGTTTTTAAGCATCCTGTGACAGTTTTGGGATATTTATCATGATGACCTTGATACACTTTCACAACTCAAGTTTTGTTGCATCGAATTATACCAGTTGTCTCATATTGGCCTCAGAGCATCCTAATTCCATAATCTTTCCAAGATGGAAATGGTAGTCATTACCTTGAAGTGCCCTGCTATGGAGCCCTATGGGCTCTGTCACCGCGCCAGGCCACACGACAGAGTGTGCATGCAGCACCCTCCTTGTTTTGTAGCAGTGCTGAAAAGCAACAGCCATTATCTTTTTTTTTTAATTTTCAATTTTTTTTATTGTGTGATAGTTTACATGGGGGAACATTAGCTTTACACTCATTCTATCATACATCATTTCATTGCCATAGTTACCATCCCGTCCATGCATCATCACCCAACCAAAGGTTATACCCCGCAGACCCCCCTCCCCCCACGGTCCTCAGCACACAGCTCCCTTCCCTCCCTGGATCTCAAGTCCTCAGCCACTCCATCTCTTCATGTCATCCTCTCTGTCTCCATCTCAGGCCTCACTGCTTCTCTGGGTG